TCTGATGGCCTTGAGATAGAAGCTGTTTTTCAGTCTCTCTGTCCCAGCTTTGATGCACCTGTATTGACCTCGCCTTCTGGATGATAGCGGGGTGAACAGACAGTGGCTCGGGTGGTTGATGTCCTTGATGATCTTTTTGGCCTTCCTGTGACATCGGGTGCTGTAGGTGTCCTGGAGGGCGGGTATTTTCCCCCCCGGTAATGCGTTTGGCAGACCGCATCACCCTCTGGAGAGTGCTGCGGTTGCGGGCGGTGCAGTTGCCATACCAGGCGGTGATGCAGCCCGACAGGATGCTCTCAATTGTGCATCTGTAAAACCTTCTGAGGGTTTTAGGTGCCAAGCCAAATTTCTTCAGCCTCCTGAGGTTGAAGAGGCTCTGTTGCGCCTTCTTCACCACACTGTCTGCGTGGGTGGACCATTTCAGTTTGTCAGTGATGTGTACGCCAAGGAACTTTAAGCTTTCCACCTTCTCCACTGCGGTCCCGTCGATGTGGGTTGGTGGGTGCACCCTCTGCTGTTTCCTGAAGTCCACGATCATCTCCTTTGTTTTGTTGACGTTGAGTGAGAGGTTATGAGTGAGTTCAATCTTTGTCTCGTCCCTGACTCAGTCTATGAATATGTTGGCTTAAAATAGATAGATAGAGCCCGTGTAGCTCAGTTGGTAGAGCATGGCGCTTGCAATGCCAGGGTTGTGGGTTCGATTCCCACGGGGGGCCAGTATGAAAATGTATGCACTCACTAACTGTAAGTCGCTCTGGATAAGAGCGTCTGCTAAATGACTAAAATGTAAATAGATAGGCTGTTGTGTCCTATCTATCTAACTTTGCCCCAATGTTATTTTCCTGGCACCACACTCCCAGAGTCCTCACCTCCTCCCTGTAGGCTGTCTCGTCATTGTTGGTAATCAAGCCTACTACTGTTGTGTCGTCTGCAAACTTGATGATTGAGTTGGAGGCGTGCTTGGTCACACAGTCATGGGTGAACAGGGAGTACAGGAGGGGGCCGTCTGGGCCGGCAGCCTTGCGGGGGTTAACATGCTTAAATGTCTTACTCACGTCAGCCACGGAGAAGGAGAGCCCACTGTCCTTGGTAGTGGGCCACGTCGGTGGCACTGTGTTATCCTCAAAGCGGGCGAAGAAGGTGTTTAGCTTGTCTGGAAGCAAGACGTCGGTGTCGGTGACGTGGCTGGTTTTCCTTTTGTAGTCCATGATTGTCTGTAGACCCTGCCACATACGTCTCGTGTCTGAGCCGTTGAATTGCGACTCCACTTTGTCTCTATACTGATATTTTGCCTGTTTAATTGCCTTGAGGAGTGAGTAGTTACACTGTTTGTATTCTGCCATATTCCCAGTCCCCTTGCCATGCATATGTTGGTCACAGACACCTTAAAAAAAAGGTAGGGGCGTGGATCAGAATACCAGTCCATGTCTGGTATGATCACCGTTTGCCTCATGCAGCGCGACACATCTCCTTCGCAGAGTTGATCAGGCTGTTGATTGTGGCTTGTGGCATGTTGTCCCACTCTTCTTCAATGGCTGAGCATAGTTGCTGGATATTGGCGGGAACTAGAACAAGCTGTTGTACATATCGATCCAGAGCATCCCAAACATGCTCAATGGGTGACATGTCTGCTGAGTATAAAGGCCATGTAAGAACTGGGACATGTTCATCTTCCAGGAATTGCGTACAGATCCTTGCGACATGGGGCCATGCATTATTAGGCTGAAACATGAGGTGATGGCGGCAGATGAATGACACGACAATGGGCCTCAGGATCTCGTCACGGTATCTCTGTGCATTCAAATTGCCATCGATAAAATGCAATCGTGTTCGTTGTCCTGCCCATACCATAACCCCACCGCCACCATGGGGCACTCTGTTCACAACGTTGACATCAGCAAACCGCTCGCCCACACGATGCCATACACTCTGTCTGCCATCTGCCCAGTACAGTTGAAATCGGGATTCATCCGTGAAGAGCACACTTCTCCAGCGTGCCAGTGGCAATCGAAGGTGAGCATTTGCCCACCAATGTCGGTTACGACGCCGAACTGCGTTCAGGTCAAGACCCTGGTGAGAACGATGAGCACGCAGATGAGCTTCCCTTAGACGGTTTCTGACAGTTTGTGCAGAAATTCTTCGGTTGTGCAAACCCACCGTTTCATCAGCTGTACGGGTGGCTGGTCTTGGATGATCCCGCAGTTGAAGAAGCTGGATGTGGAGGTCCTGGGCTGGCGTGGTTACACGAACATTCAGTTATCTGGCAACAGCTCTGGTGGATATTCCTGCAGTCAGCATGCGAATTGCATGCTTCCTCAATTTGAGACATTCGTAACATTGTGTTGTGTGACAAAACTGCACATTTTAGTGGCCTTTTATTGTTCCCAGCACAAGGTGCACCTACATGTGTAATGATCATTCTGTTTAATCAGGTTCTTGATATGCCACACCTGTCAGGTGGATGGATTATCTTGGCAAATTAGAAATTCCCACTAACAGAGAGAGAGAGAGAAATAAGCTTTTTGTGCGAATGGAACATTTAGGTAAATTAACTAAAGCCAGAGAGATGCAAATATATTTGCTGAAGCCCTGGACAAGTTTTGCTCATCAGTCAGTCAGTAATTTAGTCTAGCTAGCTAGCTATAATATACCATAGCAGATGGGAATGCAGGTGGTAACCAAGCTAACCTATAGCTAACAGTTAGCTAACGGACGGTTGCAACCCATCCTCATCCCTATGCTAACTAGGGAGAGCTCACAGTCTGAAACATTAGCTATTATCTTGCTTGTCAGGGTGAGCTAGCTAGCTAACTAGCCAGCTATAATTAAGAAGACGTTAGCTATGAAAGAAAGGACATGAATGAGGAAATTAGTTAATCTTCGGTGGCAAATTAGCTCATCATCTAGGCTAGATTATTATCAGTTTCCGCTCCAGGCTACTTGATATCAGCATCATTGTGAAATTAAAGAAAGCGTAATTTACTTATGCATCATTGTGTTGCTGACCGCAATCAAGCATTAGAGTACAATAATTGTGATGAACAACAGAAGGAACAGGATATTTTTTACTTCCGATATTGGGGTCTGATTAGATACAGTAGTTAATAGGATGCCCGTGTGCTGGTGTTTTCCCCTCAGCACTGTCTCATGACTACTGAATGATATCACTGTACAAACAAGATGAACAGTTGGTGTCAGAGACACCCTCAGTCTCTATAATAAATTAGTTAATTTATGTAGCTAGCCTGCAAGGGGCTACATTTGGATTTTCTTACTTTCTCTTTCAGGGCTCTGGTGTTGTTAAAGCTGGTTTTGCAGGAGACCAGATCCCCAAATACTGCTTCCCAAACTAGTAAGATCACACACCTTTAGCCATCTCAACACTATAATATGAAATACCTACAGTGCCTTCAAAAATTATTCACATCCTTGACTTTTTCCACATTTTGTTGTTACAGCCTGAATGTAAAATGGATTCAATTGATATTTGTTGGTCATTTGCTTAAATACAATAAATACATGTCAAAATGAAATTATGTTTTTATAAATTTTTACAAATTAATTTAAAATGAAAAGCTGAAATGTCTTGAGTCAATAAGTATTCAACCCCTTTGTTATGGCAAGCCTAAATAAGTTCAGGAGTACATGTTTTATTAACAAGTCACATAATACTCAAAGTTGCATGGACTCTGTGTGCAATAATAGTGTTTAACATGATTTTTGAATGACTACCTCATTTCTGTACCCCACACATACAATCATCTGTAAAGTCCCTCAGTCGAGCAGTGAACTTCAAACACAGATAAAACCGCAAAGACCAGGGATGTTTTCTAGTGCCTTGCAAAGAAGATGGGTAAAAATATCAATAAAACAGACGTTGAATATCTTTGAGCATGGTGAAGTTATTAATTACACTTTGGATGGTGTATCAATATACCCAGTCACTACAAAGATACAGGCGTCCTTCCTAACTCAGTTGCCGGAGAGGAAGGAAACCGCTCAGGGATTTCACCATGAGGCCAATGGTGACTTTAAAACAGTTACAGAATGTAATGTCTGTGATAGGAGAAAACTGAAGATGGATCAACAACATTGTAGTTACTCCACAAAACTAACCACAAAAGAAGGAAGCCTGTACAGAATAAAAATAGTTAAAAACATGCATCCTGTTTGCATCAAGGCACTCAAGTATTACTGCAAATAATGTGGCAAAGCAATTAACTTTTTGTCCTGAATACAAAGTGTTATGTTTGGGGCAAATCCAATACAACATTTTCAAGCATAGTGGTGGCTGCATCATATAATGGTTATGCTTGTAATCATTAAGGACTGGGGAGTTTTTCAGGATAAAAAAGAAACGCAATGAAGCTAAGCACAGGCAAAATCCTAGAGGAAAACCTGGTTCAGTCTGCTTTCCACCAGACACTAGGAGATTAATTCATCTTTCAGCAGGACAATAACCTAAAACACAAGGCCAAATCTACACTGGAGTTGCTTACCTTGAAGACAGTGAATGTTCCTGAGTGGTTGAGTTACAGTTTTTATTTAAATCTGCTTGAAAATCTATGGCAAGACTTGAAAATGGTTGTCTAGCAATGATCAACAACCAATTTGACAGAGCTTGATACATTTTGAAAAGAAGAATTGACAAATGTTATACAATCCAGGTGTGCAAAGCTCTTAGAGACTTACCCAGAAGACTCACAGCTGTAATCGCTGCCAAAGGTGATTCTAACATGTATTGACTAAGGGGTGTGAATACTTAATTAAATACAGAAAGATCTAATTTACATGTCAATAAATGTGCTAAAAAAAACATTTCACTTTGCCATTGTGGGTAGAAAGGTGAGAAAAAAAAATCAATTTAATCCATTTTTAATTCAGGCTGCAACAAACAACAAAATGTGGAATAAGTCAAGGGGTATTCATATTTTCTCAAGGCACTGTAATATATTTTACTGAAATGCTTTGATTGAATCAAAGTGTATGTAAAATAATCCATGTCTTTACCTTTTAGTGTGGGTCGTCCAAAGCATGTTCGGGTGATGGCAGGTGCGCTGGAGGGAGATCTCTTCATTGGCCCAAAAGCAGAGGTATGTACAGTGCTTTACTAAGACCGATGCCCATGGCCCTATTGTGTAACTCATAATGTAGGCTAATGGGCTTCATGTTGTAGGCCTAGATTTAGGCCGTTATTAAACTGAATCTGTATTTTTAAACAATATATAGTTATGGCCATTATTCCCAACACCTGTTGATCTCTCCATGTGGTTGTAGGAACACAGGGGACTCCTGTCTGTGCGGTACCCTATGGAGCATGGTATTGTGAAGGACTGGAATGATATGGAGCGCATCTGGCAATATGTGTACTCTAAGGAGCAACTACAGACCTTCTCTGAAGAGGTATTTTTCTCTGGTTTCTGTGACACAGACATATTCTGGGTACTTTTAATTAGATCATGAGATGTTTTTCTCTCTCAGGGTTTCTTGAAAAGTGAATTTGAATGTGAGGTTTTGTTTTTAACTGTTGTTTAACTGCATTGCCTTTCTTTTCCATCTCTCCTAATGTTCTTTAGCATCCTGTGCTGCTAACAGAGGCCCCCTTGAACCCAAGTAAAAACCGTGAGCGTGCAGCAGAGGTGTTCTTTGAGACCTTCAATGTACCAGCGCTCTTCATCTCCATGCAGGCAGTATTAAGCTTGTAAGTTTGTCTGTCCTCTGTAGCTGCTATCTTGTCTCATGTTTGCCAGTGTTAGGTTGGGCATACTAGAACATTACAAGATTTCACCCCCAGAGGAGGAAAACACAAGCTAATATGGCATGTAATGCATTAGTAACTGTAGAGATATGAAAATGATCTAATAATCATTAGCATAAACACTGTAACAGTTTTGAATATCTCTTTGGATATTGCAGATATGCCACAGGCCGGACAACAGGAGTGGTGCTGGATGCTGGTGATGGGGTAACCCATGCTGTGCCCATCTATGAAGGCTTTGCCATCCCTCACTCTATCATGAGGGTGGACATTGCAGGGCGGGATGTCTCACGCTACCTACGCCTGCTACTGCGCAAGGAAGGCTATGACTTCCACACCTCAGCTGAGTTTGAGGTTGTGCGTACTATCAAAGAGGTATGGATGGGGAAATTGTGTTGCATTTTTGATGCGGGTAAAATGTGACAATTCTAGTCAAATAGTTTTAACAATCTTCTAGGGCTGTCAAAGTTAATGTGTTAATAACGCGTTAACGCGTGGCATGTTTATCGGCATATTTTTTTTTTTACTCCATTAATCGCCACTCCATTTCTTCACCGCACTAAACCTTTTAAGCGCACCTGTTTCCGCACAGATCTTTTTAAGCAGAACATGGCTACAGCAAAGACGGTATAGTCAGTGCTTGCGGCTTTACGTCGCTATGCCTCTAGCCAAAATCATGTAAAAGTTATGCCCAATATTACCAGAGCTATATTTTTTCTTTCTGCCACGGATTCATGTGCATGTCAAGGGCCGTTTTAAAATACTCCTGAGCTGCTATTTTTTGGTTTGATAACAAACAACATTGTTTAGCTAGCTAGACATGTTACCTAGCTAGCTAGCAACCTGATAACTTGACCACTGACTAGGCTATGCCCAAATATGGATGGCACAGGAAGAACTGAAAAGGAATAGGTTACTCAAAAAGATGCTTCAAAGGTAGGCTGCATATGCAAGAGTGGGGTGTGTGTGTGAGAGAGGATGTGTGTGTGTGAGAGTAAGTAGCTAAGTGAGAGAGCGAGAGGGCTGAATCTCAAACCAAACACTTGGCCCCTAATCCCTTTATCGAGTGGCCACTTGCTGTTGTGTTCGATAGTGATCACTCGAGTCTGCAAGTGCTTTGGCCAAAATGAGCATTGAGACGATGCACACTCGACATCCAAACTGCCAATTATCAATATTTAAAATCCATTTCCGAGCGTTGTCTCCCGCGACCTGTCTTGTAGTATTTTTTACATTTACATTTTTAGTCATTTAGCAGACGCTCTTATCCAGAGCGACTTACAGGAGCAATTAGGGTTAAGTGCCTTGCTCAAGGGCACATCAACAGATTTTTCACCTAGTCGACTCGGGGATTAGAACCAGCGACCTTTCGGTTACTGGCACAACGCTCTTAACCACTGACTCACCTGCTATGAAACACGGGAACTGGGGACCTGGGGCAGACAGACACACGCATACTCCGATAGACAGTGATAAAGTTGTAAAAACAAAACGACATCTTTACTCCTGCACGAAATATGTGCTGGTTGGTAAGCTTCTCTTTCATTTCGTATGAAGTGACTGGCTCAGGCTTAGCTAGCAAGTTAATAATGGACAGGTTTTTGTGTACATGATCAAACTTCAGAAAACATTAAACTCCTTAGCTAGATGTAAAATCGTGTGACTAAGACCTGGAAAATTAAACTTCAAAATTAATGACAGATTTCTTGATTTATCTTGATGAATTCTGACCATTTTTGAGGGCGACGTAGTAGTAACTGTTGCTAGGATTCATGAGAAGAAGTAGCTGCCAAGGGCGCCGAGTCGGCATAGGATGCCCACTCGATAAAGAGGCTACCGAAGTGCGCTGTGGAGTCTCGTGAACGTGCATGTCTAGTGATCTAGTGCTCAAAGTTTTTGGTTTGAGATTCAGTGGTGCGGGAGGGAGCGTGTACAGTCGTGGTCAAAAGTTTTGGGAATTACATTTTTACATTTTAGTCATTTAGCAGACGCTCTTATCCAGAGCGACTTACAGTTAGTGAGTGCATACATTTTTTTTTTTTTAGAATGACACTAGTATTGGTCTTCACAAAGTTCGCCGCTTCATTGTTATGAGATATTTTTGTCAGATGTTACTATGGTATACTGAAGTATAATTACAAGCATTCATAAGTGTCAAAGGCTTTTATTGACAATTACATTAAGTTTATGCAAAGAGTCAATATTTGCAGTGTTGACCCTTCTTTTTCAAGACCTCTGCAATCTGCCCTGGCATGCTGTCAATTAACTTCTGGCAGCCCATTCTTGCATAATCAATGCTTGGAGTTTGTAAGAATTTGTGGGTTTTTGTTTGTCCACCCACCTCTTGAGGATCGACCACAAGTTCTCAATGGGATTAAGGTCTGGGGAGTTTCCTGGCCATGGACCCAAAATTTCGATGTTTTGTTCCCCAAGCCACTTAGTTATCACTTTTGGCTTATGGCAAGGTGCTCCATCATGCTGGAAAAGGCATTGGTCGTCACCAAACTGTTCTTGGATGGTTGGGAGAAGTTGCTCTCAGAGGATGTGTTGGTACCATTCTTTATTCATGGCTGTGTTCTTAGGCCAAATTGTGAGTGAGCCCACTCCCTTGGCTGAGAAGCAACCCCACACATGAATGGTCTCAGGATGCTTTACTGTTGGCATGACACAGGACTGATGGTAGCGCTCACCTTGTCTTCTCCGGACAAGGTGTTTTCCGGATGCCCCAAACAATTGGAAAGGGGATTCATCCGACAAAATGACTTTACCCCAGTCCTCAGCAGTCCAATCCCTGTACCTTTTGCAGAATATCAGTCTGTCCCTGATGTTTTTCCTGGAGAGAAGTGGCTTCTGTGCCAAAATGAACATTGAGACGATGCACACTCGACATCCCAACTGCCAATTATCAATATTTAAAATCCATTTCCGAGCGTTGTCTCCCGCGACCTGTCTTGTAGTATTTTTTACATTTACATTTTTAGTCATTTAGCAGACGCTCTTATCCAGACTGACTTACAGGAGCAATTAGGGTTAAGTGCCTTGCTCAAGGGCACATCGACAGATTTTTCACCTAGTCAACTCTGGGATTAGAACCAGCAACCTTTCGGTTACTGGCACAACGCTCTTAACCTGGAGAGAAGTGGCTTCTTTGCTGCCCTTCTTGACATCAGGCCATCCTCCAAAAGTCTTCGCCTCACTGTGCGTGCAGATGCACTCACACCTGCCTGCTGCCATTCCTGAGCAAGCTCTGCACTGGTGGTGCCCCGATCCCGCAGCTGAATCAACTTTAGGAGACGGTCCTGGCGCTTGCTGGACTTTCTTGGGCGCCCTGACGCCTTCTTCACAACAATTGAACCTCTCCTTGAAGTTCTTGATGATCCGATAAATGGTTGATTTAGGTTAAATCTTACTAGCAGCAATATCCTTACCTGTGAAGCCCTTTTTGTGCAAAGCAATGATGACGGCACGTGTTTCCTTGCAGGTAACCATGGTTAACAGAGGAAGAACAATGATTTCAAGCACCACCCTCCTTTTTAAAGCTTCCAGTCTGTTATTCTAATTCAATCAGCATGACAGAGTGATCTCCAGCCTTGTCCTTGTCAACACTCTCACCTGTGTTAACGAGAGAATCACTGACATGATGGCAGCGGGTCCTTTTGTGGCAGGGCTGAAATGCAGTGGATTTTTTTGGGGGGGATTAAGTTCATTTTCATGGGACTTTGCAATTAATTGCAATTCATCTGATCACTCTTCATGACATTCTGGAGGATATGCAAATTGCCATCATCAAAACTGAGGCAGCAGACTTTGTGAAAATTAGTATTTGTGTCATTCTCAAAACTTTTGACCACGACTTTAGTCCTATGTGTGTAAAGTTCTCTGAACAGTACAGATTATACAGTGTTTTCATAACATTGTAACACTAGTTTAAAAGCTCTTTGTTCTTTGTATCCATAGAGCCAGTTATTTTTTCCTATAGTCAAACTCATTTAATAGCTCAACCTTCAACACCATAGTGCCCTCCATGCTCATCACTAAGCTCAGGGCCCTGGAGCGGAACCCCTCCCTGTGCAACTGGATCCTGGACTTCCTGACAGGCCGACCCCGTGGTGAAGGTAGCCAACAACACCTCCGCCACGTTGATCCTCAACACGAAGGCCCCACAGGGGTGCGTGCTCAGCCCACTCCTGTACTCCCTATTCACCCATGACTGCGTGGCCACGCACTTCTCCAACTCAATGATCAAGTTTGCTGATGACACAACAGTGGTAGGCCTGATTTACCAACAATGATGAGACCGCCTACAGGGAGGAAGTGAGAGCCCTGGCGGAGTTGTGCCCGGAAAATAACCTCTCTCTCAACGTCAACGAAACGAAGGAGCTGATTGTGGACTACAGGAAACAGCAGAGAGAGCACGCCCCCATCCACATTGACGGGGCCGCAATGGAGAGGGTCAAAAGCTTAAAGGTCCTTGGTGTGCACAACCTCAAATGGTCCCTTCACACAGACAGTGTGGTGAAGAAGGCACAACAGCACCTCTTCAATCTCAGGAGGCTGAAGAAATTCGGCTTGACCTTTTAAGACCCTCACAAACTTCTACAGATGCACCATTGAGAGCATCCTGTCGGGCTGTATTGCGGCCTGGTACGGCAATTGCACCGTCCACAACCACAGGGCTCTCCAGAGGGTGGTGCGGTTAGCCCAACGCATCATTGGGGGCACACTGCCTGCACTTCAGGACATCTACAGCACCCGGTGTCACAGGAAGACCAGGAAGATCATCAAGAACCTCAGCCACCTAAGCCACGGCCTGTTCACCCCGCTACCATCTAGAACAGGGTTCCCGAGCTGGCCGCCGAATTTGGCCCTCGGTGGTTTTATTTGGACCCCCAAGTTTTCGGGCGAAATAAAATAATATATAGTGGTGTGTGTGTGTGTGTGTGTGTGTGTGTGTGTGTATGTGTGTGTGTACAGTACCAGTCAAAAGTTTGAACACACCTACTCATTCAAAGGTTTTTCTTTATTTTTACAATTTTTTACAATGTAGAATAATCGTGAAGACGTCAAAACTATGAAATAACACATATGGAATCATGTAGTAACCAAAAAACTGTTAAACAAATCAAAATATATTTTATATTTGAGATTCTTCAAAGTAGCCACCCTTTGCCTTGATGACAGCTTTGCACACTACGCCGCCAGGGACTCAAATCCTGCAGTGCAAGACGTGTCCCCCTGCTTAAGCCAGTACATGTCCAGGCCCGTCTGAAGTTTGCTAGAGTGCATTTGGATGATCCAGAAGAGGATTGGGAGAATGTCATATGGTCAGATGAAACCAAAATATAACTTTTTGGTAAGAACTCAACTCGTCGTGTTTGGAGGACAAAGAATGCTGAGTTGCATCCAAAGAACACCATACCTAC